TTATAGTTTGCCTGAGAATCGCTGTTATTGTGAATCAAATCGGTTTGTATTCAAATTTATCGTTATTTTGTTATTTTAATTTTTGTGATTATTTATGGCATCAGTTGTCCGGCAAACGGTGTGTTGAATGTATCGGTGTGTACGATGGGATCGCCGACCGCCATATCATTTCCTCATTTCCTATACGCGGATAACAATTATTTACAATCAGTCGACGGACTGACGCCCAGACCTGTCGATCACAGCTTTTATATGGATTTTGAAGATGTAATTGACTTTTGATTTCTCTATTGATTGATGCGATTGTAATGATGTGTTTGATTACAGCATTTGGGGGTCCCATTGAATGTCGCGGCGAGACTTCAAGTGAATATTGTGGTCGAGAAGAACCAGAATCTCGATTTTTCACGAAATTTTTCCGATAAACCGCTATATTTTCCACAATTTTGGTTCAGCACTGTATGTGTTATGCAATTCTCTTCAAAATAATAAATATAAAGAACTTTTACATTTAAATTAATTTTTATTTTGTGTTTAAATTATGTGTAATGTTATAGACGGCTGCCGTTGGAGACGATATGATACAACAGCTAAACTTTTTGGTCAATTTAGTGCCTTATTATATAAATATAATTTCATTTCTATTCCTATTGATTGGTTTTCTAACACTAATTTCGGCCGCTTTTTACACCTATCGCTGCAAAAAAGTAATCATTTTTTCAAATGAAAGTTTTAGAAAACAATTAATAAATTTCTCTTTTAATTTTACAGACCATTCATATAAACAATCGCCAAAAATACAAAGCCGTCGAAATGAATTCAACACATTTCTCCACTTAATTCTTATTATATCATCCATTATGTCTCACAAACTGACCACGAGCTCAACCACTCAACACAATTTCTCAAATTATACCTTGATATTTATATATACATACAGTATATACATATCATACATGATATTTCTCAAACAATATTTATAGTAATTTAAATATAATTTTAATTAAGACTTATATTTTGAATGTGTTTTTTGAAATTGAAATCTACATTAGATTTAATGCAACATTTGATATGTATTTCTTTTGCTCAAAGTTTTTATATATGTCTGACATTATATGTGTTGACAACAGAAAAAGTGCCAAAAAATGTCGAAATTATGATTTAAATATTGTAATAATTATGTAAATAAGTTTAGACACTATTATTGTTATACATATATAAATTTAATATAATTTAATAACTATTTAATATTTTTAGACAATTTTATATATCAATCATTTAAATATTTTAAATTTATTCTCGAAATACGTATAAATATTTTCTATTGAAATGTGAATGAAATGCATTTTACCACAATTTATTATAAATACATTTACAAATTATGAGAATATTTACAATTAAAGAATAAAATATTTAAAGACAATTTCAAATTTGAAAATTGTTAGCATTTTGTATGTTAATTGAATTTGCAATGAATTTTTAAACTTAATTGACGTATATTTTTATTGGGAACCGAATCTTACATTTTTCATTGAAAGCTTTGTTCGGTATTTTTCCAGTTGTTTTCAATCAGTGGTCACATCCCGTACCGCACTATCAGTCCATTAATAGACCATTACTTTTGGTGCCAATCGCTGACCAATTGTGATGACAATCGCCATTATGTTTGAATCTCGGGTCCAATCCTTGAGTCTACAAAAGTTTGAAATTTAATGATTAAAACAAAAAGAAATAATAATAAAAACATTTATACCTCAAGTAATGCCAGATATTTGTCCGCTTTTTGAATCACCATTTGATCCTTTGATGTGATCGACAAAAGAGATTGCATTTTATATAAATATGTGATAAAAACTTACATTTTCCACAATTGTATTGACATTACTTTGGATGCAAACCATGGAATTGATTCCAATCTGTAATAAAACCCAACACTTGAAGCTATGGTCGAGTATTACAGACACCGAGTGCTATGTAATGGTCTAAAAAGAGATATCAAGTGCTGGCGTTTCTTACAGATAGACATCAATTGTATGATTTGGACACAAGAATCAGATGAAAGATTGGACATTGAATCCAACGATTGTACAGCACTCGAAATTCTGGTCCCGAATACTACAGACACCGAGCGCTATATAATGGTAGGGAAAGGGATATCAAGTGCTGGAGTTTTATTAGAGATTGTTATCGATTGCATGGTTTGGAAACACGAAGAAAACAGTGAACGGATCAATCATTAGATCCAACAGTTGTAAAGCATTTGAAGCTATGGTCCCGAGTATTACAGACACCGAACGCTATGTAATGGTCAGGAAAGGGGTATTAAGTGCTGGGGTTTACTACAGATTGTCATCAATTGCATGATTTGAACGCTAGAAGATCGCCCAACCCTTCCTCTACTTCTAGTATTCAAACCATGGAATCGAATCCAATCCATAGTAAAACCCCAACACTTGATACCTCTTCCCAACGATTACATAGCACTCGATGTTTGTAATACTCGGACCATAACATCAAATGCTGAACACCTGTTGGATCTAATGGCCAATCCCTCCACTGCTGTCTTCGTGTTTCCAAACCTTGTAATCGATGACAATCTCTAACAAAACGCCAGCACTTGATATCTCATTCCCGACCATTACATAGCTCTCGGTGTCTGTAATACTGGTGACCATAACCTCAAGTGCTGTAAAACCGATGGATTCAATGCCCACTCTTTCCTCTGCTTCTTGTGTCCAAACCATGCAATCGTTGTCTTTCCGTAAGAAACGCCAGCACTTGGTATCCCTTTCCCGACCATTGCGTAGCACTCGGTGTCTGTAATACTCGGGACCATAACATCAAGTGTTGTACAACCGATGAAAACGATGGCAAACCCTTCGAGTGATGTCTAACCGATCCTTCTTTGCTCTTCTCTGAGATCTAACCCAACCTTTGATTCCTTTCTCTTGTTTTTGAATTCCTTCTAAACATAAAAATAACAAAAAGTGTTAATATTTTAGTCGAAGAGAAGTTGTGATGAAATCCAAACTCTTTTGTCGATCACATCAACGGATCAAATGCTGATTCAAATGCAGACAATATTTTTAAGACGAATCGCGAATAGAATTAATTTGAAAATTAATTTCAAAATCAATTGTTATTTTTTGAAACAAATTTTTAAAATTAATTTTAGATTCAAAACATTTTACATGAAAACAATGCAATTAAAAGTTTATAATCTATTCTATAGTTAATTATTGGATACTTTTAAATGCAATTTATTTTGTTTGCAATCAGATCTACGAATCAAAAGACGAGTTAAATTATTTTAAATCTTAAATTGAATTGAGATTTAATAATAATTTTAAAATTCATATAAATCTAAACTATTATTTGAAGATAATTTTTACATTTTATTCTAGCAATAAAACTTTATATTCAAATGTTTTTAATTTAATTTATAAATTTACTATTTCTGTATATCATTCTCTCTCTCTCTCTCTCGTAGTTCATAAATTGTTTTATAATTATTTAGTATTTTAAAAGTTAATTTAGATTTAAAGAAATATTATTTGCGATATTTTTGTCAGTCAAATGGGATTTTGAATAAATGTAATTGAATTGTAAGTATATTTGCCTTTAAATTTCAATTTAATTTCCAAATATAAATAACAAAAAAGTTGAATAATTAATACAAATCATTAATAAAAGAGCAATATTTTGTAAGTAAATTATAAATGTTTTTATAAAATTGTTTGTAAAAAATAATATTACATCGAAATAAAACTAATTTAAAAGAAAATTTAATCAAATATTGAAATCAAAATGAATGTGAAATTAAAATCATCATAAAATAGATACAAATAAATTAAATGATAATATAATGCAATCACTCAATGGTTATGACTATTGAGTGGAAAAACTTTTTATGTTTTAATCAATAAATTCTTCGATGTTTTGGTTGTGTCTTCGGGACTGTCGGCTACTCTCCGGGATTTGACTTCGACTTCGCAGCCAATCCTTCATTGGATTTTGTTTTCAGTCCTTCATCTGATTTTGTGGCCAATTCTGGATCAGTCTTTTTGGCCAATTCTGGATCAGTCTTTTTGGCCAATTCTGGATCAGTCTTTTTGGCCAATTCTGGATCAGTCTTTGTGGCCAAAGTTGGATCAGTCTTTTTGGCCAAATCGACACTTGTGGCCGAATCATCACTTTTGACGCCCAACGTTGGGTCAGTCTTCGCGACCGGCGGTGTATCAGACTTTGTAGCCAATGATGGCTTACTTTTGGGCGGTGGCGGCGCATCCAATGATTTGATGATTGCCTTTTCCACTTCTTTGTCTTGTGATCTCTCATCCTTTTTTTGTGAATAAACGTAAAACATATAGATTATAATCACAATGACTACAATCACTAATAATATGATGAGCCACCACCACCAGGCCATTCCCTTAGATTTTTGCGGTGATGTCTTTGGAGTGGTGGTGAGTCCACCGCCGCCATCGCCGGGAGGGACCGGGACTGTTGCCGCGATTGGCGCTCCGCATTCAAACAACTTGCCAATCAGGTCGCTGTGCAAAGTGGTCAACTGTTCCGTCACTTTAGTGTTGTCCAGCGATACGGTTTTGATGAAGTACTTGTCCTCCGAGAACTCCATTATATTGAACTCATAAGCGCTACCCTTCGGGACGTAAGCGTCGGACAGAGTGAAGGCGGCGGTGACCACCTCTTTCTCGTCGATGCACTTATTGCTGGCGATGTCGTGGATCCACTCCAACACCGGTGGCGTCACATTTGTGAGATTCGTACTGCCGATCATTATGTGGCGCTTGAATTCAAGGCCCGGATCCCCGGGCGGTAATTGTTGGCCCTTTTCCGCCTTATCTGTTGTTTTGTGTGTTTTAGTGATTGTATTAAAAGTGTTTGCATTTTGTTTGAAACATTCATTTCAATGAATACCTAAATAGTAGACGAAATCTCGTTTGGGAAGAGCGCCCGTACTATCGGTGGGAAAGTTAGTGATGGCAGTCATCCGGTCCTGAAGGTCCTGTTCGGGGAAACTATTGAACAGCGATACCATATTATCGGGATCTTCGCCGGGAGTGTATTTGTATCGATTGACGTTAAGCCTATCGAAAGGGCTGAGAGACTCGACGGCGGCGGTCGTCGCCGGTATCTTAAAGCCGATCATTTGGGGAATATCGTCCTCCTGTTTGGACACAAAGGGTATTACATTTGAGAGAACCGATGATTGTTTGGACAAACCTTCGCGTAAATGATGGCCAGGACTTCAGAGCCGAGCGGAACCCATAAGCTTACGTGGCGGACCAGATCGACGAGCGTTTGGTTGAGGTTTTGCCACTTCGTGTCCAATGCTTGGATCTGACCAAAGCGGAGCTTTTGTTTGCTTATGTCAATTTCAAACTTGTACTCATAGTAGACATTCTTTTTCGTGTTGTCATCTTTTATCATAAGAATCACGCGATCAGTGCCCACACGAAACGCTTCCGACACTTGGGGGCGATTGTAAAGCCCGCAAATGGGTTTTCCGGGGGTCCCCAACCCCGACCCCCCGCCCGAAGGAGTAGGTCCTGCAATCGACGGCACTGCAGACGCCGCCCCCTGTTGTAAGAGTACGTCTCCTTCCTCTTCAGGCGACACAATTTTTTTAGCCATTCCTCCGGAGTTCTTATTGTTCGCTGTCTTCTCTTCATAATCCATGTCTTCACTGTCCGGTTCTCCAGTGATGTCTTCAATGACCACATCTCCGACGTTATCTTTGAAGATATCCTCATCGGCTGAGTCTCGGATCTTATCTACCAATGACTCGACGCTCTGGTCGTCTTCGAGTCGTTTCCTGAACTTTTCTGCGTCTGAATCTGCGGCCAATTTGTCAGCCAATGACTCTTCAGGATTCACTTTCTTGTGATTATCTGATTCATGATTCTTATGAACAGCGCTTCCGGTTTTCTTTTCCTTCTCCTCTTCAACGTCTCCGTCGTCGACATCAGTGTCTGGTTTTCCAGTGATGTCTTCGATAACTACATCTCCTTTTATGTCTCCAAAAATGTCTTCGCCGGCCGTGTCTTTACCCGACTCTACCAATGACTCCACGTTTGGGTGCTCTTCGAGTCGGCGCCTAAACTCTTCGGCGTCCGATTTACCGAACGGTTCCGCAGTCACTGATTGCCCACTATTTACACCTCTATGAGTGGCCGACCCTTTCCGTAGCACTTCATCATTGATGTCATCGATGGACTCAGACTTTCCTTTTCCATTCATTGTCTTCTTCCCGACCTCTTCTTCTTCAACAACCTCTCCGTCGCCGTCGTCTTCTTTGTCGGGTTTTCCTGTGATCTCTTCGACGACCACATCTCCGGCCACATCACCGAACAGTTCTTTGTCCAGTTTTCCGGTCGAGTCTTCGGCCGAAATCAGTAACGACTGGTCACTCGTGTCTTCGAGTCGTTGGATAAACTCCTCGAAGTCTGAATCTTTGGTCGACTCATCGCATGTGATGACAGCGATTGCGATGACAGACACCAGTAGTAGAGGAAGAATTTGTTTGTATCGAAATCCAAATACCATTCTTTAAACTAAAGATATTTTATGATATTTTGTTTAAACGGTTAACAAAAATGAATAATAATTTTTTGAATCCAACGGTAATTCTTATATGAAATGAATACACAATTTATAACAATATAATCGGTAAACAATTCATGAGATTTCAAGATGTGCTGCGATTTCTAGTATTGTTATAATTTAATAATTAAATTCGTTATTACATTGGTTTGCAATTATAATGTATTGTCTATAAAGTATAGTAATTTAAATTCAAATAATCAGCGAGATTTATTAAACTCTTATTATTAAATTTTATGTTCAAAATAGTAGTTTATTTATTGTCTTTACTGTTATTTATAACCAATTTCTTATTACTACTCAAAAAATTATCAATATATCAATTGATTTTCAATTCAACCATTTCTCATATCAGACATTAAATTTACATTTTGTCAATGAAGTTAAACACTAAATAAATTATCAAAACATTTTAATAAAGAATTTGGCATTTTTTGTGAATTAGAAACATAAGCAATATTTTTGGTTTTAAAAAACAAATGTAAATTAAAATAAAAAATTTGGCCACAAATACAATAATAAGGTTTTGATGAAAAATTACTAAAATAAGAGAGCATTCACTTGAATACTATTGTCTGAAAGATGCGGTGTTTGTTATGTTCACATCGATTGCATCACTCACTTCATTGTCGATCACTTCTTGCAACTCTTTCTTCACGTCTTCAACGGTTATCTCTAAGTCTTGCGATGAATATCCGGTCGACTCGTTCTCGTCGTTGATTTGCAGATCTTTGAGATAGGATTCGCTTAATTTATCTAAAATCTGTTGATCTCTTTCATTGAATAGTTGTCCACTTTCTGTGATTCTCACTGTATTTCTTTGAGCGGATAATCCATAGACACCGACATTCTTCGCCGGGAGTGTATTTGTATCGATTGACGTTAAGCCTATCGAAAGGGCTGAGAGACTCGACGGCGGCGGTCGTCGCCGGTATCTTAAAGCCGATCATTTGGGGAATATCGTCCTCCTGTTTGGGACACAAAGGGTATTACATTTGAGAGAACCGATGATTGTTTGGACAAACCTTCGCGTAAATGATGGCCAGGACTTCGGAGCCGAGCGGAACCCATAAGCTTACGTGGCGGACCAGATCGACGAGCGTTTGGTTGAGGTTTTGCCACTTTGTGTCCAATGCTTGGATCTGACCAAAGCGGAGCTTTTGTTTGCTTATGTCAATTTCAAACTTGTACTCATAGTAGACATTCTTCGAGTTGTCATCTTTTATCATAAGAATCACGCGATCAGTGCCCACACGAAACGCTTCCGACACTACGGGGCGATTGTAAAGCCCGCAAATGGGTTTTCCGGGGGTCCCCAACCCCGACCCACCGCCCGAAGGAGTAGATCCTGCACTCGGCGGCACTGCAGACGCCGCCCCCTGTTGTAAGAGTACGTCTCCGTCCTCCTCAGGCGATACCACCTTTTTAGCCATTCCTCCGGAGTTCTTATTGTTCGCTGTCTTCTCTTTATAATCCATGTCTTCACTGTCCGGTTCTCCAGTGATGTCTTCAATGACCACATCTCCGACGTTATCTTTGAAGATATCCTCATCGGCTGAGTCTCGGATCTTATCTACCAATGACTCGACGCTCTGG